ATGAAGAGTATGCATTAAAGCATAAGGGAGTAAAGTACTGGTCTATGTAGAGTATGCATTAAAGCATAAGGGAGTAAAGTACTGGTCTATGTAGAGTATGCATTAAAGCATAAGGGAGTAAAGTACTGGTGTATGTAGAGTATGCATTAAAGAGTAAGAGCAAAGTTGCATGTGCCATTTGTGACCTGAAAGGCTGGTGTGAGAAGCTGATGTATAGATGGTTTTATTGCATTTACTAACATCTCTTTTATTCTCTTGATTCCTTGCTATCTGGACTTTCTTCTCACACAGATCTCCAAATTTGGATAGATGTATAGAAATCAGGCTAGATATAATTTGAACAAGATGAGCAGACAGACCCTGTGTATCCATTAGCCTGGAGACCGCATTGCACATCAGTGAGATTATTCCTGTGTCGGCTGGCACGCATTTTGCCCCTAGTCTATGGTGAAAGTGTATTGTGAAAAGGCGGGAGTAACATCCTTACCGGCAGAAGGTCTTGGATTAGCGTACTTCTTGGATTGCTGCCATTGGTGAATCTCAGCAATTAAAACAAACGATTGGCGAAAGTTTGCATAGTTTGGCGCAGAAAATACATGGTGAGTAACATTCTACCAGCGCTATTGTAGTACTAATACTATTACTACTGCTGCCGCTAATAATAATAATAATGTTGATTTGTAGACTGATTATATATTTCAGTACATCCAGTCTTCACTAGGTGTTCAAAACACGTCGTTTGTTCTTCACTACATTATTTTCTGTTTTCATAGGCTACATTTCATTTTTAAATCCAGGCGCACATCACTTACTAAGTTCCATGGTAATTTTTATCAGATTCCGCAGTGACAAAATAAGATACTGTCTCCTTTCACTATAATTAACAAATCTCTTATTCCAGACTAAACTAATGAATTAAGTGCAGCTGAACAAACCTGTAGCCTAGAAGCAATTAATCCTGGTTATGCTGCGCAAAGTGTTTTCATTTAGCCGGTCGGCAGCAATGCATAGACCGATTCGTGAGTGTTTCAGATGTAAATATGTTACTGACATTGCAGACTTTTTGCATCGTGCAGAAGTGGGTTTGGGCTCTGACGCATCATCATCATCATCATCGTCGCAGCGCGCGCCCAGCTCAGACTAGTTCAGCACCGTCCGCAGCCGCCCATAGAAAAGTGGCCAGTGCTGACAGCTGTGGGTTTTCTGAAGGCTTTAAAAAAAATCTCATGCTGCAAATGATCGTGACTCGGAATTTTTATTACAATAAATGTCAAGCGCGCGCGTTATAACGGAGGAAAACCGCAACACGTTTCTTTCACCAGCTCTATAAAAGTCGGCGAATACGTTCGTTTGTTAGTTTCAAAGCTGAAAAGTTGTATGATGGGTTCTGCGACAAAGTCTAAGGAGGAAAGCGAGTCTCGGAATACCCTTGCCTGGCAGAGCTGTTGCTTTGCAGGGATTCTGCCGACAGCCGCCTGCTTCGTGCTGTCTGTGAGCTCCATATCTCTGGGACTTCTGCTGAGCTCCAGAACGTCCCATCTGGAGCATCGTGTGAAGGTACTGGAAGCCCAGAAGAGCTCCCTATTCCTGGATGCAGGGTCTGAGTTAGGGACAGACGGAACCGTACTTACACTCCGGGATGCGATTGAAAAGCTCCTGCAAGAGGTAATGCCTTAATTCTTTTACCTTTCCGGCTCGATGGGATGGATGCGTTTGAAGATGCAATTAGTAGAAATAAAATATGAGCAACCACATCCTCAAAGATGCCTCAGAATAATGCAGTAATGAAGAAACTTTGTTGTACTCAGTGTGCACCTAGAATGTTTTATATTGTCAACATGATGTAAAAGGTGAATTAAAAATGGACTGTCATTGTCGGGTATGCGAATCGGTGGCTTGAGCCTAAAATGGTAAATGGATGCAAGCGAATAATTCTGATCAGTGTGCGTTAAATATTATTGCATATATATTATCACCATACGATTAAACATGCGTTTTAGCGAGTTAAACTAGTTTTTAACGTAAAGAATCAGATATGGCTGATTATAGGCGCTGGGTATTAACTTAATTTTAGATGTTGTGGTAGTGTTGTTACAGCGTTCTTTGTGCTTTGTCCAGAAATAGTGCGATCTCTGCTTTTGATGTGCGAAATATATATTTATGGTTCCTATAATCCTCCCGCAGAGACTCGACGCCTTGATGCCTAAACTCCGCTCAGCGAGGGATGTGTCGCAGGACTGTTCTTGTCCGCCAGGTGCGTCTTCCCGTCTGACAGAACTTTAATCCTCTTTCTGGCTATGAGCGGTGCTGTCATCCCATTGGGTGACACAGGCGGCAGCCTAGAGCGCCATCTTCTGAGGGGGCGCCGACTTAGCAAGCCAATTTTACTGTGTCCCGGACAGGGGGCGAAGCTTGCCTAGGGGCGTCTTCGACAGACACTGGCTATTAGTTATTTCATCCTCTCACTAACTGAACTCATTTTCAAAACTGGTGTCCATTTGAAATGATCTGATATTTGTGTTTTTTTTTTACTAGAGTTGAAATGGTGAAATTTAAATATAGTGGAGTAGTGCTCTGTGCCCATATGTGACAGGTTATGGGTCTGAATCCCTTGGCTGGGACAGTAGCTGTAAAATCACTGGGCCCTTGAGCAAGATCCTTAACCCAGGGGAGCTCCTAGCTATTGAAAAGGTCCGGGGTTAAGTCAAGTTTACCTGGGGCTTGACTTTTTGTTTTTGAAGGAGGATAATTGGCATCGGGGCTACAATACTCCGCTTAAAATACTCGGGGGACCTGGCAATGGCCGTGCCGCAACCCAAGCAGCTCCTGATGTGCTGGGCGCTGACCTAACCTGTGCTGCGACCTCAAGGGTTCCTCGGTTGTACATCGCTTTGGATAAAAGTGTCTGTTAAATGAGTATCTGTAAATTTTCAATGGAAACAAGAACCACTTTGCAATTTCAGGTGCTTCAAAGACTTCAGTGGAGCCAAACAATGTTCAGTACTTTCAGCTAAAAGTTATACCATGCGGACATCACATTCATCAGTTAAAGGTCTATGTTTTGAACCGTCTGGGTCATTAAACATTTTCCATCGCAAAAAAAATAAAAAATAAAAAGAATATAAGTAGATGAAATGCATTTGTAGATGATAAACGATGGTGCACAAACACTGGTGTTTATGTGTGCAGCTGAATATTGCACTTTTTAAGGGGAGTTTTACTACTTTATTGACTGACTGATCATTGATGCCGCATCACCGTTTTTTCCTTGTTTAGAGATGTTTACAAACTCCACCGCTTTGCACATTGCAGCGTTTCACATTGCATCTGGAAGCAATTAACCCCCCCCCCCCCACACACTCCATTCACACTCCAGTGATTGAAGGCAGCTGGGGGAAAATAGGTGGGGAAAAATGACTGATATTAAAGATTAGTGTGGCTCATTGATCTCCAGTGACTGAACAGTACAAACTACACAAAACTTAACCGCCGACCCCCAAAAACCATAAACGTGGTAAGCAACCACATCCAGATGACGAGGAATAAATACCCGCCGGCTCATTTTGGGTCACACTCCGACACCTGTGGCTTCTGATCCGGCATAGATGCTTAGATTTGGACTCACAACAGCATTCTAATGTCTTCAGGACTTTTCCGAATGTGGTCATGGGATGTATTGTGTTTTTTTTTTTTTTTTTNAAGCGTTCATTGTTGAAATAACAGTTCATTGTATGACAACAGGAGCTGTACTGTACTAACCTGAGGTTAGTGGTTAGTGAGGTTAGTGCTCCAGGTGAGGCTCAAACTCACAACCTCGGTTACAAACACAGCATGCAGGGTTCATAGTGTGATGCATGCTAGCAAAGGCAAAGTTTTTGCTCCAGGTGAGACTCGAACTCACAACCTCGGCACTGCTGTATAAGTACCGCGCGCTAACTGATTGCGCCACTGGAGCTTACGTATATACACAAATTTAACTATAGAAATGAATTAATGCCAGAATACTCACTCTGTTGTGGCATAACATTACAAATCCATTGGGGACACACATCTATTGTACGTATGTCCACTAAACTTCTTTAATCCCTTTTGGAAAAGGCCGAAAGTCACCGCACTATCATCCAGTGACGCCATCGGTTACATTCGAACACTGGGAGAACATCGCCCTCTAGTGTCCAGCGTGATTGATCCAGCATTTATCATTGCGATGGATTGTTTCTGATCACTGCGAATAAAGTAAACGTATAACCGCTTAAATAATCCAGTTTATTTAAATAACGAATCTGTTGGACTGAAATTGTACATTCTATATGTATTATATCGGGGAGTAAGTAAAATACAAAAGAAAGTAAACAAACACAAGACATTTACTGTAGTGCTTCACCTTTTCACGTATTTTTCATAATATTTGCCTGATTGACCATTAATATAGTCTAATGTGGTGCTAAACTAATTGAAATGTTTGCAAAATGTAACCAAAACGAGGCAAGTGTTGTCAAACACTACAGAAGACAGTAGGAGGTGCTATGTGTACAGTATATCAATTGAGATACCATTGCCGCCTTGTGCTGTTGGACTCGGATCCACAAAGTCAAATCAATAACCACTACTGATATCACAAAACTTACAAAGGAGGCTGGTCTTTTCCCGCACCTTGTCATGCTATATTTAAACGTTTAAAATATTTCTCTTCCTTATCATGCTTTTTCAAAGCGTGTTCATTCGCCAACTTCACTTGACTGCAAACACACGTTGTCCGGCAAAGGGCCGGTGAAAAGCATTTAATCAACATCTTTATTGAAATGAAAACATGTATAGCAAGGGAGAGTAATGGCTAACCTTGGATTAAACGTGACTTTCTTTTCATTTTCTTGAGTCCCTCTCTGTACTGGTTGCAAATGGAGTTGTGTGTATTGACACAGAGAGAATTAAAAGCTTTCAGCAATAATTAGGCGACTGTGAATTGTGGTCATGCCAGGGAAGTAAACTCAGCCATTACCGTAGTGACATTAATAACACTTTGCATCGGGAAAATGAGCCCGCGTTTGTGAACAGATAAATCCTATTCGGTTTAAATTCTGTCCGCTTTTGTAAATGATATATTCGTCATAGGAATGGACTCTGCTGTCAGAATTAGGACCCTTCGAAACGCTGACAGTGCAGGGAGCAGATTAAACGTTTTCACTTGACACGACAGACAGCTTAAAATAAGCAACGCAAAACCAGCTCATTAAATACATCACATCATATTCTATCCTTCGTGTGTTACAATAAGGCTGTCTGCCTGTACATAAATAAAACTTTGGAATACCTCATTTCTCCATAGTCACAACCCTTCTTTGAATATATGTGTGTTTTTTGTTCACGTACTAAGAGCAACGCTTTGCCTCCCCACACAGAAACATCTACAATTACACACATAAATGGACGCATAGATTTTCAGTCTTAAATCAGTCTTAAACTCGATGATTATAAAACCTCTGCTTACTGCCATTAACCCTGATGGTTCGCTCTAAGAGATCAGAGATGTCTTCCTGTACGTCTCTTCAACATGCCTGATTTATTACCACATGCATTGTGACGAATTGGATTTGCGCGAATTATATTGACTGATTCTGTTCATAGATACAGGAATTATAACTTGTTTATGCATGATACAGTCAGTATGTCTATGTCAAATAATATTAGAATTAATAGTAATTAAAGATACATCCATCCATTTTCTGACACCACTTGTCCTATTTAAGGTTGCAGGGGGTCCGGAGCCTATCCTGGAGGCTACAGGTGTACGAGGCCGGGAACAACCCAGGATGGGGCGCCAACCCATCGCAGGGCACAGTCACACACCATTCCAATTAACCTCAGTGTGTTTTTGGATTGTGGGGAGTTCCCGGAGGAAACCCCGTGATGATACATGGAGAACATGCAAACTCCACACACTCGGAACCATGGCAGAGACTCAAACCCAGGTCCCAGAGGTGTGAAGCAACAGTGCTATGCACTGCACTGCAGTGCCACCCCAATTTAAATGACATATAATAATAATTATAAATACATTACACTGGCTGTAAAGTGCTATAGAAAAATTTGCATGTTAAGGATGGCTTGACAGTGGATATCAAATTCCATATAGATCTTTATTAAATAGACAGAGTACAGAGATGGAGACACTAATAAAGGGATAAAGGGCACAGCAGCCAAATGAAAGCACTGTAATGGCGTTCTATCCTGCATGACCCTTCTAGTTCAATATCAAGATCTATATTTGTGCTGCCCGTCCCCCCGGATCAGAGCAGGATAAATGGCACGTTCACTCGCAGCCGACAGATAAATGTTGCTTGGCGCACCCTCCCCGAGCAGGGAGTACTGTAAAGCAACTTCCATGCCCGTCCGAGCGGCCAGACAGATTTTATGGACGCGGTAAACTCTGAAGTGGGCACCGTTTTTCCTGGCAAATTAAATGGGGCCCTTCGTCAGGATCGATATATCGCGCAAAAAAAAATAAATTCTGCCAGAACGGCGAGCATAAATCTATGGACGGGGAAGGCAGGCTGGAGGGGGGGACCGGCTCCTCTTAGCGTAATGGATGCCAGTTCAAAAGTTTAACACATCAGGCGCACACGCGCTCTATTTATTACCTTTTGCTTTGTGTCTGTGTTAGGGCACACACGTTGGCCGTCATCAAAGCAAACACTGAACTGGGCAGATGCATTAGGGAGATTGGCTGGACCCCTGTACTATAATAATTACGGCACTTGGATGCTGAGATTGTGGTTTCTGCTACTTGTGCGCGCGTGTGTGTGTGTGTGTGTGTGTGTGAGTGGGGTTGGGGCTGACTGTGGTACAGAGCTCTCCCTGCTTCTCCCGCTCCCTCCCCCGGTACTCTCAATGGGACGGGACTATCTGATTATTGATAAGTGGGGGGGGGGTTGATGAGGGAGACACGCAGGGAGATGGTGGGCGGCTTTCCAGACCATGGCCAGGACCAGAACGTTCCCTGCAGACGGCGTGTCAGTGCTCCGGTTGCACGTTCCAGGAGGGATGTCTCAGCCCTGCACCTAAGGAAGTATGAGGCTACTCAGATACACATCTGGAGGTCTGGATTCGGGGCTCCACGGTGATTGAATGCTTCACGAGTGAATGAAGACGCCCCGAATCATGGGACTCACCTGCTTCAAGTCCTGGAAGTACGACTGCGCGGCAGGAAAAGGTAAGCTCATTTCGGGAGCTCCGGCCGACCCCACCTACCGTTCACGCATGGGAGCGGCGATCCGTCTTCTGGGCGAGTACAGAGTATTCATCAATAGCTACAGCTCATTGCTATACGTGCCAGCCTCCCTTCAAAACCATCCCACTGCTCATTTTCTGTGGATCTTCATTCTGGTGCCAAACCAGCAGAGTCGGGAAGATTATAGACTGAGCAACCATAGAGTCAGGTGATGTCTATCTACAGAAGTGCGTCACTAAGCCCACGGCACCATGGGAAGTCCTTTTTATCTACGATCCACTCCGACTGTGTATCTCGTCTCCTCTTGGGGACCCATCGCCCAGGCGCTGCCTTAGAAGATGCTTCCAGGCTTAGTTATCGCAGGAGATGTCAAAGATTATGCGCCTCTGCGTTTTCTAATCAGATTTACCACAGTCCATTAACAGGCAGACTTCTGTGAGCTGTTTCCCACACTCACGAGGTAAGACATGCTGGATCACTGGGCAGCCAGGAGGGGAATGCAGCAAATCAAAAAGTCGGACTTTGATACTCATGTTATACTTTGTTTCAAGGCCCAGTCAACAAAGAAGGCTGGACCTGAATTTAGAGAAGAAGCAGTGAGACAGAGGTGGTGGCCTGCAGCACGTTCACTGTGAATGCAGTTCCTGCATCCAGGGGATTGACCATCGGGGGGGGGTTTGGTTTTCTTTTAAGATCAATAGGTCAGTGCAGGAACCTTTATGTTATGTTTCTGTGACGGCGCCATAACAGTAACCCAGTATATACACAAGACATTTGATTGGTATAATCCATAGAGGAAAAACACACCAGCCGTCTCCTTTAACGGAGAAAGCTGTTAATCTACTGGGAGACGCTAAGCTTAGGTTACCCGCTTACAAGATCCTCGGGTTCTGTTTGTCTGGGTTAAGCATCTCAATGTCCTTTTAATGCATCAGCTGCACCCAGCAGACGGCATGTTTGCTTCGTGCATTTTGCCTCCCTGTCCCACACTTTGGACAAAAGTATCTGCAAAATCAGTGAAATGTAAGAGTCTTTATACCAGGGATGCCAACTTTGGTCGGCTGGCCGCCGTGAGATTTTCAATTCGAGACAAGCCTGCACACGCATTTACATGTATGTAAGAGTTTTATTACCTTGTAAATGTAGGGTTTGCAGACTGCCCCAACGCTTCTCATGTAGCTAATTGTACATTTATAAAGGAATAATATAGGTTTGACGTAACATTTCTTGCGTGACAGTCTGAAAGCATGAGTGTCAGATGCGTGAGATTTGGCAACCCTCTATATGTGGGTCTAGGGCTGGTCAACCCAATGGGGGGGGGGGGGGTGCTAAAGCTCGCCTAGGCTACCCCGTGAGCTTCGACCAGCACTGGGGGGGTCATTAAGGACAACTGACAAAATGGCGTACACACAGCTAAGCAATCACACCGCTTTCCTAGTCAGCGCTGTAACCTGTTACTTCAGAACAACAGTCACACACACATTTCAGTAAAGATAATGAAATAGGCCTACATGACCGTACTTTTCCACACCCTTTCCTGCGGTCGCATCTTTACATGCGACGAGTGACTCCCGTAAATGTTTACACCGGAGTAGCCAGACGCTGCGGCGCATTGTGCGACGAGACATCATAGCTGGCTACGCGAGCCGGCCGGGGAGAATACAATTGACTGTATATTGATCAGGCACTTTAGATGGGCGTTTTATGGCTCCTGCCTCGTTAGGATG